AACCTCTGAAACTGTAAGCCAGCCCCAATTAAATGTTTTCCTTTATAAGAGTTGCTGCGGTCATGGTGTCTCTTCACAGGAATAAAACCCTAATTAAGATAGACTTGTCACCAAGTGTGACAACTTGAATCCAATTTCCAGAACCCACATGGTAGAAAAGAAAAGAGAATCAGTTCCAGCAAGTAAGTTATATCAGAGAGAGAGAGAGAGAGAGAGAGAGAGAGAGAGAGAGAGAGAGAGAGAGAGAATAAAATAAATCTAAAAACAAAACAAAAGAAAATAACCTTCAGGCTGGAGAGATGGCTCAGTGGTTAAGAGCATGTACTGCTCCTACAGAGAATCTGAGCTCAGTTCTCAGCACCCATGATGGGATTCCCACAACGGCCTGTAACTCCAGCTTCAGGGAATCTAACATCTCTGGACTCCTGGGCACCTACACTCATGTAGACAAGCACACATGACTAAAAATATTAAAATACACATAATTAAAAATATTAAAAATAAATATTAGAAAAAAAAAGCCCTTCACACTGGTGGTGCATGTCTGCAGCCTCAGTGCTTTAATGCAGAGGCAGGAAGAACAGAACAAATTAGAGCCCAACCTGATATACACAGGGAGTTGCAGGCCAGCAGGGGATTATAGTAAGACCCTACCTCAAAACCAAAACAAAGGGAACCGCTAGAGAAATGGCTCAGCGTTTGAGAGCACTTGTTCTTGCAGAGGACCTGAGTTCTAGCCCCAGAATCCACATGCTGATTCACAGCTATCAGTAATTACAGTATTACAGTTCTTGGGGATCAAATACACACTTCTATTCACTGTGGGCTCAGGCATGCATGTAGTACAAAGACTCACACACATAAAACAAAACTAAAAAAAGAATGGGGCTGTAAAGATGGCTGAATGGTTAAGAGTACTTTTTTGTTCTTCCAGAGGACCTGAGTTTACTTCTCAGGATCCATGTTATGTACTTTGTAACTCCAGCTCCAAGGGATCTGGTACCCTGTTCTGGCCTCCATGGACATCTGCCCCTTTTTGTCTTTCACTCACACAGATGCTCGCGCGCGCACGCACACACACACACACACACACACACACACACACACACACACACATATAAACAAAAGCAACACAAATAAACCTTTCAAAATAAATAAGTACTCCCTCCCCCCAAAATAAATATGGACATAGTGGCAATCCCTGCGCTCAGGAGGAAGGGCTAAGGCAGTAGGATTTCCATGTTTCTCAGGCCAACCTGGGCTACCTAATGAGCAGCAGACAAGCCAAGGCTATATCAAACAAACAAACAAGCTACTTGTAATTTTGAAAACAAACAAACAAACAAACAAACAAACAAAACAAAAAAAATCAACAACTATGCCTTCACAGGAAGTTACAAAGAAGTGAGTAGAGAGGAACTGAGTTTCACACCTCCCCAAATGCTGACATCTTCACACTTATAGTACAATATCAACCCCAAGAAATTGATGTTGCCACAACTCATAGAACTTACTCAGATTTTACCACTTCCACGTGTTAGTCAGAAAATATTATGCTAGTTTTTTTATATTATATATTTTATATATTATGCTAATTTTTGTTATGGAAGAAAATGGTAGACCTTTCTAGACAGGACATCTTGGCTTGCAGAGATGTTACTATTTCTTCAAGAATCACTAAACAATCTGTTTTTTTATATATATAAATAAAGTCTTTATTCATCTGTCATGTGCTTTTAATGACTTTTAATGTTTTTAGTATTCTGAAAGCTATGAAAAACTCAGTTATTTTTTTCATGGGCATAAATGTCTAGGATGGGAACACAGGAAACACACAAAACAAAATAGCATCATATAAGACAGCAATGAATGCTCTGAAGAACATCAGGTAGCCTGAGAAGCAGAGTCTGAGAAATTCTTTTAGTTTGGGTGGTTAAAGGAAGCCTTTCTGAGGATGGGGAATTTGAGCTGAGATTGAATGATGAGATGGCAGAACCATGTGAAAATCTCCAGAAAAACCATCTAACAAGTGACAACATATTAAGAATTATTGCTAATAAACATATCATAAGAAGGCAATGTAACAGGTGTAGGAAACATGGGTGTGCCTGTGGTTCAGATGTGGCTTGTTACCAAAACTCATGTTGAAATATAATTAGCTATAAACATTATAGCAAGGTGGCTGAATGCTTCCAAAGTCTCTGGATCATAGGGGCGCCATCATCAAAAAGGGACTAGTGTACTTCCCCACTCCACCATGAATTAACTCGACATAGCCATACATAGCCATGGCCCTCTTTCCACAGCCTGTTTGCCTTTGTGGGAGCCTGTTTGCCCACTTTTTCCTGCATCAATTGTGCATATGGGGAAGAAGGACTTCCTAGTTTGGACTTGCAGGCTTCCAGAGCCAGGAGCAAATTACCCAGTCTCAAGCCTTCTGTCACGACACAGAAAATGAAACACAACACATGAGGGAAGCATAGTGAATGGGCTCAGACAGGTAGGCAGGGGATGGATGATTGAAGTCCCCATAGGGTAGGATAAGATGCTATATTCAGTGTGTAGTAAGAAGTTACTGGGAGATTTCAGGCACAGGAAAGCCATGATTAGACTGAGTTTTAAAAACACATACTCTCACTACCATAAGAAGAATGTTTTGGACAAAAGGAAGAATAAAGAGGGATTAAAAGTCTGTTGCACTGACTAGGTCCATACTGGCAGGGTTTGGGAGGAAAGTGACAAAATTCTGATTTGTCTATGGAATGCCATCAACAGGACTGCCTCTAGGGCAGGTATGAGAGAGAAGAAAAGGCTTTTGCTTAAAACTAGAAGACGGTAATTATCTAGTTAACTTTAGATAATTATTGTTTGGCCTACAGGGTGCATGTATTGTTTAGGCAGAGATGGAAGAGAACTGATTACATTTGAAAATTTGAGTGGATGGTTGCTAATTGCTGATTAGAAGTTAATCCCAGAAAAATAAACCTGCAAGTGATTATTGTTTGAACTTAAGAGTTTGAGTGCAGCTAACATGAAAGGTGTTATGGTATGCGAACTTACAGACACGGCAGAGGAACAGCAGTGCTCTTTGCAAATGAGAAAGACCAAGACAACAGTAAATTGTGCCACAGCGTGTGTGTGTGTGTGTGTGTGTGTGTGTGTGTGTGTGTGTGTGTGTGAGTGTGTGTGTGTGTGTGTGCTTGAAAACAATAAAGACAGTCCTTTGGGTTGAAAGCTACTGAAGAGCCAAATATGGAAGAAGTTAAGCCAGGCATGGGAGCTCATACCTGGAAAGCCAACACTTGGGAAGTGGATTGCCAAGAGTTGGTTTCACCCTGAGCTGCAATGTGAGACCTCGTCTTGAAAAAAAAAACAAACAAAAAAAAACTACAAAACAAACACTATGAAAAGAAACATGTACCTGGGCATGATAGCTCATGCCTTTGATTCCAGTACTCAGAGGTGGAGGCAGGTAGATCTCTGTGAGAGACAAACCTGATCTATTTAGAAAGTTGCATGCCAGCCAAAGCTTGTATAGTGAGATCCTACACACACACACACACACACACACGCACGCACGCACGCACGCACGCACGCACGCACGCACGCATGCACGCTCGTGCCCACGGGAGAAAGGAAGGAAGAAAATAGTCATTGAATGGCTGAAAGTAAGCAAATTGTTCCAATAAAGCAGCATAGAAAAGTACGTGAGTGAGCGGGTGGAGAGTGACTATGAGCAAGAGACAGATGCAGAGAGAAGCCAGGATGGAAGTGGGTGGTAAATAATGGCATGATACCTTATGTTACCATGGTGGGTCAGCAGTGGGCTCAGTGCACACTTGAGTCAGATGTTAGGCTCTGAGGCTCAGTAGGCAACCTGGACTATAGGTAAGTCGAGGAGCATGATGGAACTCAAGGTCTTTGAAGTGGTACAGCAAGTAATGGTGATGAGGTCAGGAATATGATGGGAAAAGGTGTCCTTGGGAAGGAGAATGCCAAGGGTCAGAAAGGTCAGCAAAGGGGTGAACTATGTGGCCTGTGGAGTTATAGAAATTACCAAGATGCCAAGAAAACAGGGAGACAAAGGAAACCATGTATAGTATGTCAGCGATTTGTCCAGAGGGGTATAATCTGTTCCCGTGTGAGCGTCTATTGTTTTCACTTATTTGTTAGCTTGTTTTTTTTTCTTGTTTTGTTTTGTTCTGTTTTGTTTTCGGTATTTTGCTTTATTTTGCTAGAGTCTCACTGTGTAACCCTGGCTGGCCTGAAGCTCACAGAGATCCACCCACCTCTGTCTTTTGAGTGCTGGAATTAAAGGAATGCACCAGCATGCTGAATCGACTTGGATTTTCTTTCTCTACTCTCCTCTCTTCCTTTTCTTTTCTTCCTTTCCTCCCTCCATCTCTCTTTCTTTTGAACTTCCTTTTCATATTTTGTACCTCCTTTATAACACACATCTTAGTCTTTGTCTTTTTTTAAGAAAATTAAATTACGTTTATGTGTGTGTGTGTGTGTGTGTGTGTGTGTGTGTGTGTGTGTGTGTGTGTGTGCAGGCCAGAGAGCAACTCATGAGTCCATTCTTTCCTTCCACCATATGGATTTCAGGCATTGACCTCGGGTGGTCAGGGTTGAGGGCAAGCGCCTTCACACACCGAGCTCCGTTGTCACCTGCCCTGCCTGCCTTTTATACATTGTATTTACTTCTAGATGAGGCAATGAAGGCGCCTGTGGTGTCTCCTATAGCACGAGGCACACATGTCAACAGTTCTTCAACAACTGAGACTCTTGGAAGAGTCCATGGGACCAAGAGCAGAGCCATTTCATTAAGGGACAGACTAGATTTTTTTCTTCTTGATTGTGGAAGATAGAACCCAGGGCCTCCTAAATGTTAGGCAATCGCTCCACCACTAAAGCTACATTTCCCTCCTATTGAAGATGCAAGAACACAAAATAATGGTTTAAGGATCATCATTCAGAGAAATCAAGGCCACGCAAAAATATAAAGAAACAATCAAATTTTATTTTCACAAGTTTTCAATTTTTAAATAGTATAAAAATAAACAAGCATTTGTTCTAAGTCTACTTTTTTTTCACATAAGTTAATTTAAATACACATTTCTCTCAGGCAACTAACAATCACACACTTAACCTGAATTTCCAGGTTCATTCAGCAGGTTCATGTTCACAACAATCAAGTTGGCTTGTTTAAAAAAAAAAATGACATTAAAAATTTTTATACAATTTTTTCTAAAGTTGATTGTTTTTCCATCTTAAACCTTTTAAGCATATAATCTTTAAAATATTTTGTAATTTCTTTGTAATAAAATAAATTTCTCCTTTCTATTATTAAGACACATTTTTCAGTTATTTACATAAATATTATCTGTAATCAGTTCTTGGTTCGTGAATACTAATGCCTATAGTGCTTTGAAGAGAATTTCTTAATAAGGTAATCTAACTAATTAATAAAGCATCTACAGGGCCTTCAAAATGTCAAAAATGTCAGTCTTTGTAACATGTTTACATAAGACAATGTTCTCTTCAGTCTGCTATGTGTGTAAATTCCAGCTTTAAACTTCTCAATATACCAGACTAGACTTCTTAAAATTTATCCACGAACATTAATCTCATTATTTTGTTTGATTGTTTACACAGGAATTCAGAGAGGTAATCACAAAAAAAGTACATTGATTCTGACATAATGTGAAAACAAACACTTGTAGGCTTAAACATAGTTTATAACAATAATGTCTAAAAGACATAATTATCCTTAATAAATTAAGTAATATACAGTACCTCAGCTGATAATGAGATGTAGAATTATCATCATTATTGTTTTACATTTATTACTATTGCCCAGAACTACTCACTAACTAACTTGGTTTCTAAGTAAGAAAGCCATTCTTCACAACAAGAATGTTTAACTTTCTTGTCATGAACCCTTTACATTTCCATAGAAGGTATTCTCATATCTTGGTAGGGTCCTTCAGTATAATTATAAGTAAAAATTTCTGCCTTTTGCCTAAAATAAATTTATTCCTCCAAAGGGGAGGTACCTAGTAGTCCTGAGCTGAGGTTTTCCTGAATGTAAAACTTCAAGTAGAGAAAATATTAATAGAGGTTAAAGAGAGAATAGACCTGATACTAAAAACCTAGAAAACAGCAAAGAAAAATCAAAAACCTGGAAAATAGCAAAGAACAACTGATCAGCAGTTTCTCGTAGTAAAATGGCGACAAGAAAAAGAAATAGGGGGAGCAGCGTGCTGGCATCCAGGCTGGACTCAGTGCACGGGACCTGCTGCATTTCAGGTAGCATGCAACAGAATAGATTTCAACGCTTTGAAGAAGCTCACAAAGCCACTGATACTTTTTGCATTGTGAGATGGATTGTTAACATCATGCTATAGAAGAGAAAAACTGCTTAAGTCCAGCTTGGTAAGTCATTAACCTCACAGCAAAAACCTGTTGAGTACCAGGCCAGTATCATACAAGGATCAGAAAGTCTCCTTTAGAAGTATAACCTCAAATATGATCTTTAATTCAGAATCCTTCTCTGTCCTTGGTTATTTTATTTGTAAATCTTTTTGTTGCTAAAGATTTTGCTTGATTCCAATATAAACAAACTCTTTAAAGAACATACACTCTTAAGATAGGACAGCAGAGGCTCCACCACCTTCCTACGCTGGCATCTTGACTTACAAGGAAGGTCTTGCCATCTCAGTAAGTAACATTTCACTACCACTGAGAAAAGAAAATCACTGACATAGTATTTTAACCATCAATCACAATGTAATTTCTACTAGGTTTAGAGATTTTTGTTTATAATAACTATTTTATTGGTGTGGGTCCAAGTTCAATAGCTTAAGAAAGTAAGAGCCTTCAAAAGTAATTCAAACTCTCAATTTAGACATTTCAAATTATTCAAGACTTTTTTTTTTTAAAATGAACTTGTTGGCAGTATCTACCTTAAATGTTCACTGAAAACTGAACTTATACCTTTTGTTTTCTGAGATAAAAAATACGCAAGATTTCTTTAAATTTCCACATTAGCTGCTCCCAACGTAGCATGGAAGACAGGAGTCATAATCAACAGTGTAGACACTTGTAGCATTTTTCATCTTGTAATAGCATTTAAGTATTCAAATATCTTTCCTTTGTTCTTATTAAGATATACTATGAGCTGAAATTCAAGTAAAAAGATATCAAAATTCATTTCCCCCTGGTTTATGTGAAAGACTGGAAGCTGTTTTTCTCTTTCACTTGAGGGCAACACATATTTAAAGTACAAACACACGAATCTTCACAAATGTAACATGGTTCAGAACATTGCCTTCTGTTATAGAAGATGTTAAGTGAAAAGGGCATTTCATATAAATATTAAATAATTAAATTAAATTGTTCATATAAATAAATAAATATGACCAATAGACTTCTACAGCTCAGTTGAACGCCCTTTGATTAGCACTGTAGGGTTGAGGTCATCTAGTCTGGAATGGGAGGCACTTGCATTGATGGTGGCTGCTTTGGTAGGCTGTGGATCTTGCACATTGAAGGAGGTGAAGGGGCAGCCCTTCACGTTATTACAGATGAGCGACTGAAAGGAAGCAGTGTGGATGATCCTAAAACCCACTTCTCCTCCAAAAGTGCTTGGCTTCCAGTACTGAGGAGAACAGATGGGATTGCCCATAAGTCCTTTCAAGGAGAATGGTGCTCCAAGTTCTACCATGGTCTCCCCAAAGATAGCATCTGGACGAGGCTTTTCCACCAGCAGGGCAGGATACAGCTCCATGGCGTCGATGTCACTGTAGAGGGCTTCCAACTCTGCGGCCATCTCCTTCTCTCCTGGAAGGTAAAGAAGACAGAGATACAGGCAATGCCAAAGGAGGAAAAGGAGGAAATAGTTCTGGCTCTTGAGCATAGGCCCCCCCGCTCGCTAGCCCACTCCGATTCCCACCCCTCCTTCTCAATAAACCGAATCCTTAAAAAGGAGAAAAGAAGGAGGAGGAAGAGGAAAAGGAAGAGGGGGAAAAGGAGGAGGCTCACCCCTCACCGAATTCTCTCTCACCTTCTCTTTTCCCATTTAATCCTTGATCGTTGTAGAAATTTCAGAAACCATCTCTCACCTGTAAGTTCTTCAAACGATGTGTAGGGCTTCAGGGAGAAGCGTTTGCGGTACTCGTTCAGGGACTGGTATTTCATCTCTCTGCTCTGGTCAATGGAGGCCTTGGCCACTGCTTTTACTGCAACTGGAACATTCCTACCCCCAGCAACCTGAGGAAAGTGAAGAAGAAAATGCACTTCTTAGGCATATTCCTGCTTTCCTACGTCTTGACCTCAACACGCTGCTATTCTGTAATGAACTTGCCTTTTACAGTTACAAAAAAATAAACTCATCGACAAGCCTGAATATTTCCTGCTGAAATCTATCAGATGATGGCAAACTTTTTAGGGTATTAGTTTTAAGAGAATGTGTTGTTATTTGCTTGATAATTGTAGACTAAAACCGTAGCCTTTCAAAAACCTCCTAGGCTTCCTGTTTCAAGAACCAGTAGACCATCTGGTTGTTCTTTTAGTAAAAGGAAAAATGATCTCAATGACAGAAATCTGAAAACTTACTGACCAGCTTGTTCTTGCTTTTCAGGAATGATGCTTACCCGGCCAGCGATCTGTCTGGTGAATGACTCAACAAACTGGGTGAGTCCGTGTTCAATGAGGATGGAGTTGTTGTAGAGGAACTGTTTGAAGTTGTACTCCTGCTCTTCGATCTGAAAGGTGTCAGGCAGCAGAGGGTGCCAGTGATAGAGTGTGTTGAATTCAGCTGCAATGCGGTTCTGGTACTGAAACTGCTGGTTGAAAAGCAGCTCTGGGTCGAACTTGAGTTTGAAGTGGTAGCCGCTCAGGTGCTGCACGTAGTCTTCGATCACAATCTTGATAGTCTCTCCTGTGACACAACACAGAGAGCTTATTTTCCTTACTATCAAATGGGAGGTATGTTACCAGGCATGCGCTCATTCTCACTATTCACAAGAAGGAGTCAAAACACAGCCAAGGTAACACGTGAGGTTTTTCTTTGGCTTGGGGAGATGGTCTTGCTGATTTTCTCTTGCTCACCTATCAGTATGAGCCTGCTTGTCTGGAATAACCTCTCATCGTCCCACTCAGGATGCTCGCGTTTCAGCACATCGCACACTCTGTTGTGCTCCCGAAGCCAGATTGTAGCATACATCATTAGACCAGGTACCAGACCAAAGACCTCCTGCCCCACAGCAAACCGTAGGTGCTCAGGGATGTGAGGGGGGTAGATCATTTCTACCTCAGTGTCTTTGACTGTGGGAGGATACACCTCTCCATCAATGACCTAAATCACAACAGTAATAATAGCACAGAGTTAAAACAGACAAACACGGCTAGCAGTTTTAAAATATAAGTGTAAATGAAATGATAATTCCTAAAATATAAGGAAAATACCTGGTATTTCAATTTTCCATCCTTGAAGAGGCGCAGTTTATGTTGTCTGTCTAGAGTTTCACCGTAAATGTGATTTAAGTCCACCTAGAAAATTATGGAGAAATTTCAATTTATTGATGTCTTACGAACATTTGTTAGTACATTTTGATAACTTAGTTGTCTTTAAAATTCAACAAGTGATTTTTTTTTAGATTTATTTTATTTTTTATATGTATGAGTGTTTGTCTATATGTATATATATCATGTACATGCCTGGTGCCCAAAGAGATCAGAAGGGGACATTAAATCCCCTAGAACCGACTGGAGTTACAGATGGTTGTGAACTATCCTCCCCCCTCTCCCCCCTTCCTCTTTGCCCCCTCAATCCACTCCGTGTGTCTCTTTATGCTGAATAATATTAGTATCTTATATTAAATATGGCACATGCATGCTCAGTATAACCATGATATTTTTATATTATTTAAAGCGGCATAATCAGTGTACAGTTTTTTTTTTGTTTTTGTTTTTGTTTTCTTTTGTTTTTTTGGAGTGCTGGTCCTCTACCTCAATGGCAGAGCCCAGTGCCTAGCAATCACAAAGTTCTAAGTTTACTTCCCAGTGTTACCAATAATTAATTAATTAATTTTTGGAAGTTGTAGCATTTTTTTTGTAGACCAAAATTTAAACTCAAAATGTAAGGAAAGTTTACATTAAAACATCTCCGTGTATGTCTATTTATTTTTACTAAACCAGTGAATGAAAAACAGAATACTCTATTATGATTGTAGGCATTACACTTGTATAAAAAAAAATGGGTGTGATTTGTTTGGCATGGCAAGATGTCAGCATTTCCTAAGGATTTGCTTTAATTCTGAGTTAAGCCTATCTTACCCCATGGCCCAGTCCTCGGGTGAAACCAGGTCCTCGTTTCTGATCTGTCTTGAAAAACTGATGAGTGAAATGCTGGGCAAAGAACGCAAACATCATATTCGTGCCTTGGGGGTCAGGGATGAAGTTTCTCCTTAGGAGAACTTTTTCCAGAACTTCTTTTGAATCAGGAAGCTCCTTATTTCCTAAAACATGAAAACTCTAAAGTTAAAACCCATTCATATATTTGTTCAAGCACACAGATGACTGGTCTAATTCACGAGAGCATTCATGACTTGTGAACAGAATCTTAAGGAGGATCATAACACCAATCCAATGGTTTGGCTTTGAGGCACAGTCTCGTGCTTGTACCCTAGGCTGGACTTGAACTCACTCTCTATTCCAGGTTGGCCTTGGCCTTACTGGTGAACCCTTGCTTGAAATCTATCAAGTACTGAGATTACAGGCAATGAACTCTCTTGCCAAGACTACAAATGAAGTTCTAAGATATCGGGGAACAACCTATTGAATAACTTTATCAGTTCCACCTAACGTCAATTCTATTTAACACAATATACTAATGTTAAGACACTCTATCACAATGAAGATTTACTTTTATGGAATAGGCACTTTAAAAAATCCTCTGTGGATAACCATACTAAGGACAAAGGCATTACAGCTTTAAACAAGGGACAACTAAGGTCATCTTTTCTAACTACACACCGATGTTACTGCATTTGCTTCGTCTCTCTTTCCACTCACCTTTCACACCCATGGGAGTTGGGCAGTCATCAGCTACCGGAGGAAGGGCTCTGGTGTAGTAGGAGAGGTTGGAGAAGGCCTCCCAGTTTTTGTAACCATAGTGCACATTGTAAGTTGGTGGACTGTCAATCAAATGTGATCTGGCTGGAATGTTAAAGAAAAAAAATGCATTGGCCCTCATATGAAGAAACAAGTGAATGTTAATTATCGTTGTACAATGTGGAAGCACAGAGATTGGATCTGATTCAGACAAAGATACCCCGGTTTACAATGACTACACTTTAAAGGGCAACTGAAAATGCATCTTCAATGCAGCTAAAGCTCTACACAGGACATTATGCTCCAGTAGTCTTGATTTTTTCAGGTACCACCCATTCTCTGATCCATAGCTGATGACTGATACAGTTAGGCATGGCCGTCACTTAGAACTATAGAAAGTTACTGCTTTCTTTTCTGACCCAAACCTGAATCAACCATTTGTTTGAAAGGGTGCTGCATGTTCAGAACAATTCTGTGAGCCATAGGTATTCAATAATCAAGTGAAGCCCACTTCCTCCACAGGAATGAAGGTTGGAGGTCATAAATAGGATCCTGACTACAGGATCACAGGTCAGTTTTTGGGCATTTTGGGGGGTGGGGGAGAGAATTGAAACGGTGTATTTCAAGCCATTTTGAAAAGGTTGGGAATATTTTTTTGGATTGGGTTTCTAGTGCATATTTTTTGTTGGAGGATGCTAGAAACCAGGGAGGTTTGTACTTACACGTCAACACATAACTCATGATCAAATTTCGCAGGAAAGGAATGTTATTCACAATGTTCCAGACTCCCTTGAAGTGGGTCAGGATATAGTGCACTGTGTTTGGGGTGGGCTTCAACAGCAACTTGATTCTTGTCAGAAACTCAGCTGGAGAGAGAGAGAGCGAGCAGGAGGGAGAAATTAGTGGGTACCCCCCACAAGACAAACATACAAACTGATGGTAACTGGATGTGGCCCCATTCCTAAGGAAGAAACCCCAGGAGAAACTTACGAATAGTGCAGTTTTCCCCGTAGAATCCTGTCCGAGTACAATCACATTTATACTGGTCAAATCCTGTACTCATACATTCGCCTCGGTTCTGACACGGGTTCGAACAGCAAGGATTTGCTACATTAAAAAAATAAGACAGCCTGTAAGTAACTCTTGGTCATCCTCATCTTAAGGATTTAATTGTGTTACCATGGGTCAACTTTACAATGGTAAGTTAGAAATACACAGGTAGTCCCAGAAATAAAGACTGCTTTAACTGAGTCTGTCTCATCAAATGGCTGTAATGTAGAAATAGCAATTTCCTTTTCCAAGCAACAACAGCAGAGGACCTAACAACATAGCTGACATTACTATCATTTTCACAGTAACTTCTTAGACGAATTAGAATTCAGATTTGAATTGTTAAGTAGCACTTTCGAAATTAAAATGGATCAATCTAGTACGTTAGTCAAAATTTAATGTGAAGAAAACCAAAGTAAAAGAGTTTACTTTTAACATCTTGAAAATCTTTTAAAAAATGTATTCTGGACTTTCCTGGGGGCAGAAAAGCACTAGCAGGTATTTAAAGCAATCATTCCTATTCAGTCGCCCCACACATACACCTCACATGTATTGATCATATCTTGTCTTACCATAATGACAACCTACAAACTATTATGGCTATTGCTCTCTCTCTCTCCCTCCCATGCCCCTCTCTCCTTTCTTCTTCTTTTTCTTTCTTTCTTTCTTTTTTCTTCAAACGAGAGTGACTCTCTGCTCCTCTGCTTGGCTGAGTAATTGGCCCATAACCTGAGAGCCAGTGGCAAAAGCCGGCCATCCTGGCAATTCCTCCGGACCCAAGTGGTCCAGGCTCTTGACTACCACTGCGCAGCCCCCCCGCACTAGAAAAAAGGGTCCGAGCTGGAGATCGGGCGTGCGCCTTAGGGCGCGGGGCCACTCACCTGCGTGGCTGAGCGCCAGGGCAGCGCAGAGCAGCACAGCTCGGAGGAGCATCGCGGAGGTTGCAGCGGCGGCGGCGGCGGCGGCGGTGGCAGAGCTGGCGGGACGCAGCGTGGAGTTCCTTCGTGGGCAGGCTCTGACACTCCAGAAGCGCTCTGCTCGCAGTTTGACAACTGGCTGCTAGCGGGGAGAACCTTGCTTTTATGCCTGAAAAGCGGCCCCCCACGTGACGTTGTTGATGACCGGTTCTTTCCGCCCAGTCTTCCCCCTACCCCCAACAGCCTTTCCCCACTCTCGGCGGCGAGTTGCGCAAGGCCGGTGGGGGCAGGGCTCTTACCCACGCAAACGGAGACGAGGGAAGCCGGGAAGCTGCCCTCGGCTGCCCCAGGTGGTGCCAAGAGAACTGCGCCGCCCTCCGCATCCCTCCCGGCGCCCCGAGTGGTTCCTGTGCCTGCGCCCACGCTGGCTCTCTTTGGGGTCCCCGGCTTCCTCCCAGTCCCGCATCCAGTGCCCCAGGTGGAGAACCGAGGAGCTCGGGGACGCCACAGCTTTCCCCTCCCGGGATCCCAGGTCCCAGCGCAGGGAATCCCCGCGCCGCTCCCCGCGGCTGGGGCGCAGTGTGACGTGCGTGCTGTTCGGAGCGCACACTCAGCTACCGTTTTTAATGTATTCTATTTTTAATGAAGTGAGAGGGCTGCTGTCAGGGTCCACGTCTGTCCTGTTGGGAGTAGGGCCAGGTCTCTCACAGAACTGCCCCCCAGGCTCTGCGCCCCTAGCTCCGGCGATTCCCGGGGACAGAGTCTGAGCTGAGCTTCACTTCATCGGAATGCTAAGTGCCCACGGGATTGCTTTAAGGTATTTTTTTCCCCTCCCTGCTGTTAAATAGCTTTTATCATTTTGGTCAACAACTCTTTTCAGAGGATATGTCACTAAAAAAGAATTTGTTTTTTAAAGATGTAATTTTTTTTTTTTTTTTTTACTTTTTCTGTCCATGTTTCCAAGAAGGTGTGTTATGACAATGGATCAAAAGATAATCCTTATTTTTCGGTACCTAGCCTTGTTCTGGCTAGCCTTAAAAACCCAATTCATTCTGAAACGTTGTTTGATGGGAAATTAATTGCACAGAAAGGTGATTTTGACAGTCCTGAATGTCACTCTGCTGTTTGGTGGTGGCCACGGAGGAGTATGTGAGGATGGAATAGTGAGAAACTAGCAAAATAAGAAAGCTAGGAAACTGAAACAGTTCGATTTTATGTCCTTAGCACGAATGGAGGAGAAGATGACCCACAATCTGAAATCAAACTGTATTCTCAGGAAAATTAAGTCAGGAAAACGGTTTGAGGCAGGCTGGGCAACACTGCAAGCTCCCGGCTCAGAACAAAACAAACAGAAAATTTAAGGAGGGAAAAATAAAACAATGAGGGGAAAAACGACCAGAAACAAGACTTAGAAAACTTCACCAAACACCTCCATCTGTGGAAGTCTTGCAGAAATTAAAAATACTCATGGAATTTTTTTTTAACTGTTTGCTTTGTGTGTGCTAATTTGGTTCTGCGTGAGACACGGTGACTAAAATTGCGTCTCATCCAGCGCATTTGTTCTAGTCATGTTTAATCATTCCGTTTATGGCACTCCCAACCTTTTGCACTGATTCCTGTGTGAAATTTCAGCTGAATGCACAGATGATTTTCCTTTTTGGTAGTTCCTCTAAGGAGTTCTTGGTTTCTGTTTTTAAGTGAGTGGATTGCACGTGCTCACACTGTAAGTTTCTTGGAACTACTGATTCTGACTCTTAACTCTTGACAGTGTACTCACATCTTACAGGGTAATCGTGAATTGATTTTGAACACCTCCATCCTCTTCTGATATTAGTTCTCTACCTACTATGTAGAGAAGTATATTCTGATGTGTTTTTGTTTTGTTTTGTTCTGTTTTGAGACAGGGCTTCTTTGTGTAGCCCTGACTATCCTGGAACTCACAGAGATCCACCTGCCTCTGTCTCCCAAGTGCTAGCTAGGATCAAAGGTGTGAGCCACCACTGCCGCCCGGCCGGCCTATTCTGATGTTCTAAAATAGCTTATAACAAAGCAGGAGAAAGCAGTGCATGGTGACGTTGGCCTTTATTCCCAGCACTCAGGAGGCAAAGGGAGGTGGATCTCTGAGGCCCTGTCTGGTCTACAGAACAAGTTTCAGAAGAGACAGCTCTACACAGAGAAATTCTGCCTCTAAAAACTAAGATTAAAAAAGGTTATGAATTCAAAAGTGAAGAAAAAAACAGGGCATAGGGAATAATCACATTAAAACTATTTGAAATTTAAAGACATTGAAACACAATCATAGCAGACATTTGATTTTAAAACATCTGTAGGGTTCAATTACTTGATTTAATCTGTAACTTCAAATGTAAGGTAAAGAGAGCTCTGTGTGCCTGTTGAGTTGCACAACTCAGAAGGAAACTTGGACCTTGAGGACAAGAGCAGTTTTGAGAGGAAGTCCAAATAAGGATGTAAGGGAAAACATCTTGGAATTAATTGCCTACGACACATCTGGGATGCTAGCATAAAATACGTAGGCACATGCTGAATGCTGATCACAGGGGGATATTGGATGTCCCCAAGTCAATCAGTTTCATATGGCAAAGCACGATGGTAATGATGCACCTTTGGAAGATTTTTATTATATAGCAACTATAGCTATAAATTATATAGAAATTTAGTGTTTCTCTGTGCATTTGGACACACACACATATATGTTTCTGATAAAAATGTATTTTGTTAGTGTCTAAAAATTTTTTTTAGAAACACTATAAAAAGAAAATAAAGCATGTTTATGTCTTCAAGAATATTCTGTTGAGTTTTACTGGCCTCTTCTGCTGTGTGAATTTTCAGCAACTTTTTCCCCCCTAAGATGCTGGGTAGATTAGATTGTTAGGTAGATTTTGGTTCTAATTTTATAATGTTCTTATATAATCACACATGTAGTGTTCATATTAGATTTAGAGTTCACGCATGTACTGGAAGTAAATGACATTTTTGTTTTGTTGTTGTTGTTTGACACATTTGAGACAGGGTTTCTCTGTATAGCTTTGGCTGTTCTGGAACTCAATCTCTAGACCAGGATGGTCTTGAATTAAGAGATTTGACTGTCTCTGAGTCCCAAATGCTGGTACTACAGGCGTGTACCACCACTGCCTGGCTAATAAATGACATATTTCTTAATTCAAGAATTATATAGATTAAAAGTAAAAGGCAAGATATATCATGTTAATATTAGTCAAGGAAAGAGAATAGTTCTATTTATTTTTAGGCAGAGCACTCTTTAGAGCAAGGAGTAAATTCTTCAAAAAGGTGTAATGATCCTTACGGGCACTGCAAAGCACTAGAGCACTGATGTATATGAGGCCGAATGAATAAAATTGCAGCGAGAAGGGATGATGGGCACTTCAATACTCCTTCATCAGAAATGGACAGATAATCATAAAGGAGATGGCCAAAGTCGGTAGAACTGTAAGTCAACTAGACATGATTAACATCTAAGGAGTTTCATCCAAGGATAGCAGTGTAAACACTCTTCTAAGTTACATGGAACATACACTATGATAAACCATGTTCTGGGCCATAAAACACCTTAACACACTTAAAAACAGTAATCATACAGTGTATGTTTCAGGCGATGGCTAAATTAAATTAAAACATGCATCACCAAGGACAATAAAACAGGCATAGTAATGCGTGCCCATTATCCCAGTATTTAGGAGGTAGAGGCAGGAGGATGAGGATGAGGTCACCACTGACTACACAGAAAGTTTGGGTCTTAACTATAAGAGACCCTGCCTTAAAAAAAAAATGGAGAAAAAAGGAGGAAGATGGGGGAAAAGAAAAAAAGCAAAATGAATCACTGATACCTGGAAAATCCCCAGATAGTTGGAGATCACAAGATACATTTTAATAACTCAGGGTTCAGCGAGGAAGCTCAAAGGTTATTAAAAAATACCCTGAGTCAAATGAAAGCACAACGCGAAATGTTTAAAATTCGGGGAAAGCAGCACTGGAAGTTCTAGCACTAAATGCCCGAGTGAGAAAGGAAGACCGCAGATCAAGACTCAAGGCTTCCTCCACTTTATCAGAGCAGAAAGAAAGAGCGAGCGAATCCAAAGTAAACAGAGGACCAGAAACAGCAGAGACTTGAACAGATACCAGTGAGAGTCAAGCCAGGACATTAATAGAGGAGGTCAACATAAACAGAGGCTACTTTTGAAAGGCCAATAAAAGTGATGTCTCTAGCCAGGCCAACTAAGAACTAAAAAAAAAAAAGACAGAAATAAACCTAATCACAAAGTCCTCAGGAAGAGGAAGCCGGCAATACAGAAACCATGGACATTAGGAGGATAATAAAAGTATACTGTGAACAAAAGAGACAGAGACAGAGGGTGGTGGCAAGCCAGAGGCCAGCCTGGGCTACATAGAGAGTTCAGGCCAGTTACATGGCCAGACCTTGTCCCAAACAATCAACAACAAAATAAATACACTATTAAAAATGACTGTTCACGGCCTTCATGCTTTCAATTGAATGTACCAATTTCTTCCTCCCCTGGCCTCCCTCCCTCTGTGTATATGGTATATGGTGTATGTATGTACTGCCTAAAGATGAGTGCGCAGGTCCCTCCTGCATGCATTTGGAGGTGAGAGCACGTTATAATTGCCTTCCTCTTTTGGAGGTCAGAGTAGGATATAAATGTCTTCCTCTATTGCTCTTCCCCTTGTTTCCTTGAAACAGGGTATTTTACTGGAAAAAAAAATCATGCTTTTTGGACTAGGCTAACTGGTCAGTGAGTTCTGGGGTCCTCCTGTCTCTGCCAGCCAGTTGCTAGGGTTTCTGATACTTGCAACCATGTCTAGTTTTTTTTTTTTTTTTTAATGTGGGTGCTGGAGATTCTAATTCACATCCTCATGCTTGCAAAATAAGCATTCTTACCCACCAAGTGACCTTCTCAGCCCCTGTACCAAGTTTCTTCTGTAATACACACACACACACACACACACACACACACACACACACACACACACACACTCCTATTTATTTGTGTAATGTGTATCCCTGTATTCTGTATGCAAGACTGTTGCCTGTGGAGACCAGAAGATGGCATCATATCCCGTAGAACTGGAGTTACAGAAGGTTGTGAGCTGCTGTGTGTGTATGCAGGGAATTGAACTAGGGTCCACTGGAGGAGCAGTCAGTACTTTAAACCACCAAGAGCCATTTCTGTAGCGCCATGTGCCAATTTTTTAAAAGCAAATTCTATAAAACTTCACGTAAGAAGAGAACAGTCTTTGAATTAATAATAACGCTACCAAACAAAAAGGATCAGCCCTATACAGGCTTGCTGGTAAACTCTGCCACACTCTTAAAAAAAAACATGTATCACTTCTCTACAATCTTTATCAGAAAATGGAAATAGAGGTGGTACTTCCTAGCTCAGTCTATGAGGCCAGTGTGACCCTCACACTGAAGTCAGCAAAGACATTACACAGGAAACTACAGCATAATATTTGTCAT